CCCCCCAGGGGAATAACCACACTGCAATCCCTTCTCCTCCGTTCTCCTCTCTGGATCTTGGGGATGCATGCACACATGCCTGGTGTAAATTTTAAGCCACCAGATCTGGGATTGGAACCGTGGTCAACTATGTGGGAGTCCAGTGATGTAACCATATGCCATCTGCTGGTCCCAACATTTTCTGGGAACTTTTAAAGTCCCTTTGTGTGTATATATATATATATATATATATATATTTGTGTGGTCTCTATTTCCATCTTTTCTAGTACATGTATCTCTTTAATGTGAAAAAATTTTTATACACAAAAGCCTTTTAAAAAGAGAAACAAAATTGCCAGGATGGGTTTGTGAGTTTCTTAGAGATGAGTAGGCTTTGGCAGTGCAAGTTATGCACTGAAAACACTAGCCAACTGAATGGAGGGACCTGTGGAAAAATATGTAACACATCCAAGCTATTTTCTTATTCTTACTCCAGTGCATCCACATGCACTGCCCTAAGATTATGCACCTTTTCCTCATGGGTTTGTGTTTACTTCACAATAAGCATATTGCATAGTATTATATTCTCAAACCTGTGTAGGCATCCTGGTTGTAAGAATCTAAGTAGTGAAAAATGAAAAGCTTTAAGCTTTGAGGAGAACATCAAAATAATAAAATATTTTGAAATAAATAAGAGAACTTGAAGGTCTGAAGGAATCCACATTGGTCATATTCAGGAATAAGGCCAAGGAAATAAAAGGAAAGTTGTACATCACAGTTATCCTCTGCTTCTAATGGAATCCAAAAACACTTGGAAGAAGTTAAGGATAAAGACTGTAAGAGAATGCATTGGATAGCACTTTGTGACCTCAGAAACTATATGGCTTCTTTATGGAAGGAGGAAACTGGAAGAAGAAGAAAGTGAGAGTTCTATTTTTAGCCAGTTTTTAAGACAGAAAAACAGATTAATGAATGACAATAATCCACCATGGATGTCAAAATATTGCAGTGTAAGAATGATGATGTTGGGCCAGCAGGTGGCATGGAGGATAAGGTGCTAGATCCTACAAGGACAATTCTGTGGTTCGAGTTCTGGACTTAGCAGTTTGAAAATCATGCCATAGGCATGTTTGTGCATGCTCCAAATCCAAAGAGAATAGAGGAGAAGGGACTGCAGCAAGGCTATCCACCCTGGGAGTGATTTCTCTTTCTTTTTCTCTCTGTCTGGGGAGCACATGCATCTTAGAGCAAACAAACAAACAAAAAAACCAGGATAATGATGTCCTTCTTTCCTTTTACTTCTTTTCAGTAATTAAAAAAACCACAACACTTTACCACAGTCATTTCCAACAAGTGGTTTTTGGAGAATAGCTATCTACTATGCAAAGTAATTAACTTATTATCTTCCACTTACAGTCTACATGGAAAACATGATATTCTCAAAAGCAAAAGATACAAGGAACTAAATTAAAAGAAAAATGACCCTCTCTACAAATAAAAGTAAAGTAATACATATTTTAATTAATTTGACTAGTCATTTCATAATGTATATATGTTTTAAAATGATATGCTGTGGGAACCAGCAGTTAGCGTAATGGCTATGTTGCTGGACTGCCACATAGTCAACCGCGGTTCACGCCCCGGACCTGGTGGCTTAAGTCACGCCGGGTGTGTGTGCGTGCGTGCCCAAGATCCCGAGAGGAGAATGGAGGAGAAGGGATTGCGGCGTGACCATCCCCCCTGGGGGGTGATTTCTCGCTTTCTGTCTCTCTGTCTCTCTCTGTTTGTCTGGCGAGCGCACGCACCCTATAGAAAAAACCTCTCAAAAAAAATTTAAAAATGATATGTTGTACACAATAAATATATACAATTTTTGTCAATTAAAATAACCAAAAACAGGTTTGTAAAAAGAAAACTTTCTGAAGAGTAAACAAAGAATGAGACACATGTCATTACAACATATGACAGGAACCAGCAAGTGGTGTGATGGTTAAGGTGCTGGACTCTCATATGACTGACCACAGTTCAAGTCCTGGATCTGGTGGCTTGAAAATCATGCTGGGTGCATGTGTGTTCATGTCCAGAATCCCAGGAGAATGGAAGCGAAGGGACTGCTGTGTGGCTGTGCCCCCTGGGGTGGTCATTTCTCATTTTCTCTCTCTCTCTGTCTTTCTCTAGTGAGTGCACAAGCCCAATGGCAAAAACCCTAAAAAAAGAGGGGTTAAAATTTTCTTTCTTTGAGACTAGCAGTTGGTGTAATGGCTATGTCGCTGGACTCCCATGTGGTTGACTGTGGTTCAAATCCTGGGCCTGGTGGCTTAAACTCACATCAAGCATGTGTGCGTGCATGCCCAAGATCCCAAGAGGAGAATGGAGGAGAAGAGATTGTGATGTGGCCATCCCCCCGAGGGTGATTTCTCACTTTCTGTCTCTCTGTCTCTCTGTTTTGGGCAAGTACATGTACCCTATAGCAAAAACCTTTCCAAAAACAAATTCTTTTTCCTCCCTCCCTTCCTTTCTTCCTTATTTTCCTTCTTCCAATGAGTGAGAAAGACATAGAGGCAGCATTTCCAACAGGTCTTGCTGCTATTTCCTATCTCCCTTCCTCCCAGCCAGCGTCAGATCATCATGTGTGTGTGCAGCTTACTCAGGGAGGATTATTATCATGTGGGTGCTTGGTATATTCACAAAAGCCTCAGGATGTGAACCCAGAACTTTCTCAGGTGGCTGAGCCTTGCAGAGTGTCACATTTTGTACCACTGTAAACCACTATGTGGCCTTTAAATTCTTACAAAAAGGTCTTACAAATCAATCGGGAAAAAACCCTCAATATCCCAATATGATATGAAAGAGCAAGACAGGAAGAAACATACAGGCCAATTAAAATAAAATTGCTCTGGACCAGCAGATGGTGTAATGGTTATGTTGCTGGACTCCCACATGGCCCACTGCAGTTCAAGTCCTGGACCTGGAGGCTTGAAACTCATACTAGGCATGTGTACCTGTATCCTGAAAATCCTGAGAGAAGAATGGAGAAGAAGGGATTGCAGTGCAGCCATACCAGTGTGGGTGTGTGTGTGGGTGATTTCTTACTGTCTCTCTCCAGGGCACATGTGCCCTATGGCAAAAAAACAAACAAACAAACAAAAACCCTCTCCTTAAAATTGTTCAATAATTTTCCCTTTGAAAATTTATTCAAAAGAAATCATGAGGATGAATTTCAAACACATATGTGCAAGTTATGTGCATTACAGAACTGCTTGTGATTTAAAAAACTGAAGTAATGTAAGAATTGAAAACCAGTCAATGCAGCAAGCTGTATGGGCCCAGCTGGGTACTACTTTATAGTAAGTTCATTCTACTCACTGGGGTTTATGCCTAAAGTCAGACTTGGGTTCATGTATAGGTATGTGTCAGCTGTGCTAGCTATTGGATATATTTAGACTAATTAAGTTCATTGGCAGATCACTTGAATGGGGGGGAGGATGGAGGGCAACCGTGGATGCCAGGGACAATGTGGGAGGAGGATGGGTCATAGCAGAGGGTGGGGGATGGGGAATAAAGGATGGCAAAACAAAAGGCAAGGTATGCAGGACATAAGAATTGGAAAATTATTTGCTGAGAACATGTATGTTGATGTGCTTGATTGAGCCAATGCACAGTGTATTTTGGATGGAAAATTCATTTATGTGTTGTGATGGTGTATAGTGAATTAATGTAGAGAATGAATAAATTGAAAAAAAAAAAAAGGAAACCAGTCAAGTAAATCACGCAAATATTCTTTACTTTAGCAATACTGCTAGAATCTATCCCCTGGAATAGTATATAAAACTTATGGTTCTTAAGAGACACAATTTTTTAAAGAATTATTTTATTTATCTTTACTTATTTATTTACTTTAATTTGACCAGCGAGGGATAGAAAGAGAGAGAGAGAAAGTGAGAAAGCAAGCCACCAAGTCCAGAACTCCAACTGTGCCGCCATGTGGGCCTCCAGTGGCCTTAACCACCACGCCACCTGCTGGCCACCCACAATGTTTATTTCGGCAGTTTGCAGAAGCAAAAAATGGTTGAATAGTTTATGGCAAATTCACATCATGGAGGGAGAAAGAGAAAAAAGCTGCACACCAGTGACCATATTTATGCATTCAAGTAAATACTGTGTGTGCATACACATAAAAATAAAAGTGAACTATACATGCTTATAGCAGACTATGCAATTGTAAGGAAAGCAGTATTATACTTTTGTATGAAAAGATGAAGATACATTAAATGAAAAAAGTTTTGTTAGTGCACATACATGACCTCCATTGTAGATACAGATCAGGTCGTTAGATCAGGACTCCAAACACCTTGACTTCAAATACAATGACTTCTGAAGACTTAATTCCTCAATGGACCTAGATCTAAAAATCGCATTGCAGTTATCTGACATTAAGATCTAGTTACGAAGACATTTATTTAAACGAAAGTTAACTTTGGTTTTGCCATGGAAAAACTCCTCATTCTGATTATCTCCGCTTGGGGCTACACGGTGTAAACGACTGCAGGGCCAGTAAGTCGGATTACAGACCACTTTGCGCAGCTTCGTATTTTCAGACATCCCTTTAATTATAAACGATTCTGGGCCATAGGGTCTGAAAACGGCTGGGACCGAGGGGCCGGGACACAACGGTGAATTGAAACCTTTGGGCCCATACCAGCTGGAGGCCGAGTCGCCGCGTGTCTTCTAGGCGCCATCGCGAAGCCTGAGCTCCCACGCTCTCCTCAGAAGACCGACGCCGAGGTTCCTTCTGGGATCTCCAGCCAATGCCTACACGTCTGCCCTGCCTAGCAACTCCGAGCCAATGGGAGCAGGGCTAGCTTTTGCTCCGCGACTGTTCTTTCTAGCCAATCAGAAATGTTCTTCAATTGCTCTCCCCCAAGAGATGCTCAGGTTCCAGAAAGGCGGGCTTCACTTCCGGGCCGCAGTCGCGGGCGGCTACGCACGTTACCATAACGACCATTTTACGTTAACTGGCTTGTTGCTTTTATCCAAGTGGCTGGGCGACTGTGGCGGCAACGCTTCCCGCATTCGGTGTCCGTTCCCTGAGGCCGAAGGGCCTCAGCAGGCTCCGAGGTCTGGCCTAGAGAACCTCGTTGCCCCTCGAGTGCAGGATGGCCGCGGAAGAAGAGGACGAGGTGGAGTGGGTGGTGGAGAGCATCGCGGGGTTCCTGCGAGGCCCGGACTGGTCCATCCCCATCTTGGACTTTGTAGAGCAGAAATGCGAAGGTAAAAACCAGAGCCCGTACTGACAACCCTTTCTCGTACCTCACCAGTTGTTGGCAGGGAGATGGACACCGCCGACCGCCTCTCATCTCCGGGGTCGCCACCCCTGTCGACCAGGCTTAGAGCTAGTTATGTAGGAGGACTCGCTTTCACCCCGACCTTGCTTTCCCTTCGCAGATCTGAAGATAGGGATCGAGACTCTCCCGCCCAGGGCCCAAGTACGTGTTCGAAACACATTAGACTTTAATCCCATGTTCGATTTTTCATCCCATCCTGCACGTTTCGGCCCTGGGCCGTTTGGGTGGGCTTCTAGGACAACAGCTTCCCCAGTGACTTGGGAAGAGAAGCGTCGGTTTGCCCCCGAGTTCCCGCTGATCCTTATCATTGCCGTTCCCGCCTGTAATGTCAGTTTAGAAATGAAATGATTCACCCCACACCAGCAATTCCCTGCGAAGGAGGGCATGTGATTGCTCCAGTAGGCCCAGGATGATCTGGGCGGCCTGTATTCTGATCTAAAAAGGGGAGAGGATTTGTTTGAATTTGTTAGTCTAACAAATAATACATGGCATATGTAAGAACCCCCTATGAGGGATGGACACCTTCAGGTTCTGATCAGTTCATGGTTGGAGTTCTGCTTTCAGTTCTGGAAACAAATTGGAGCCCATTTAAGGTGTAACCAGAAATCAGGCCCTATGAATGAGTATCTAGCCATTATCGTGGTTGTTTATTTAATCAGGCAAGACTGAGAGTAGTAATATCCATCAGTCATTTGTACGTCTGTTTTATGTTGTAGGGATTAGATTTGTAAGGTTCAGCGGGTGCTGGGGTCAGTATGTACAAGCTACAGGGAAACAAATTTCTGTGAGTGCTTCATAGCAGGATGTACCCAAGGTCCCAAGATGAGCTAGCCTGCCTCAGAAGGTAGTGAGCCCCCCCCACCCCCACTGCACTAGCAGTGTTTAAATGGATCTGACAGCTACTTAAGGGAGATATTTAAAGGGGATTCAATTACTAAAAGTCTGGTTATCCTGGATGATTTTTGAGGCCTTCTTTCAACCCTAAGATTCCATAACTTGTACATTGAATCTTTTCACTACATTCTCTTGCCATAATTCAAGTTAACAGTTATTTTGTTTTTACAGGTAGTTTTCAATAATAACTTTGATTTGTAGTCTTTTTAATTCAAAATGTGGGGCCAGGTTCAGGGGCACATCGGTAAAAATGCTGGACCCCACATGGAAGGTCCCAGGTTGGCAACCTGAAATCTTCCTGTGCATGCTGGGCTTCATGCTGGTGACATTGGCTGGCTGAGGCTGGGAGTGGATTGCAGGGTGAGGACCTTGTTCAGGAATGTTTCTGTCTTGTGGAAGAAATGAATACAGTTAAAATTAATGCTATTGTGAAACTAAGGCATGTAGATTTTTGACTTCATTTAGAAGAAAGAAATTATGTTACCTTTTGATTCCATTTACCACACTGAAACTAAATGCTGAAATGTGTGCTGTTTTCTGTGTCAGATAATTTAGTGTAGTTTTATTCAACTTTGTCACATCAGCATTTCTTTCAACAAATGTTTATTGAGTGTTCTTGGGTCAGAAGATGGGGATGGAAAGATGAATAAAACAAAATCCTGTGTTTAAAAAATTTATAGTTTAGTGGGGGAAGGAAAACAAGTATAAGTAGGCGCATGAAAGAGTTCAGAGGAAGGGATCTAACCAGCCTAGGAGTTGCAAGTGAGTAGAGAATGTGACAGTTGGCCATATCTTGGAGGCTGTTTGGGAGAGAAAGGAGACAGGGAGTCAAGTAAAGAAATGTCTTGAGCAAAGGCATGGGGGTTTAAAGCAGTCTGTTTGGAGATGTTTCAAGTAGTGGCGTATTGCTAGGAATGTGAAGTTTTTGTTTTTTGTTTTTGTTTTTGTTTTTTTTTTCATAGGGTATGTGTGTTTGTTGGAGAAAGATAGAGACAGAGAGAGGGAAAATAAGAAATCATCTCCCAGGAGGGATGGGCATGCCACAATTCCTTCTCCTTTTTCCTCTTGAGATTTTGGGCATGCACACCTGTTTTTTTGTTTTTGTTTGTTTATTTTTTTTAAGAGAGATTTTTGCTACAGGGTGTACGTGCTTGCTGGAGAGACAGACAGACAGGGAGAAATCACCCCCCCAGTGGGGATGTCCACTGCAATCCCTTCTCCTCCATTCTTCTCTTGGGATTTTGGGCCTGCATGCATTATGCCAGGTGTGAGTTTTAAGTCACTAGGTCCAGGACTCAAACTGCGGTTGACTACGTGGGAGTCCAGTGATGTAACCATTATGCCATCTGCCAGTCCCCACCTGGTGTTTTTCAAGCTATGGGGTCTGGGGCTCCAACTGTGGTTGACCATGTAGGAATCCAGCACCTTAACCATGCCACCTGCTGGCCCTGGGTTTGGGATTCTGAGTGGTGGAATATGAGATTTGGGATCTTGTCTAGCCTTCTAAGGATTTTGTATTTAATATTTAAGCAATGAGCAGTCTATGCAGAGTTTTAAATAGAAAATTATAGAATTTTGCATTTTCGAAGGATCATTCTGGTGGAATGAAAGAATGTTTATTGTTCACAATTCATGAATTTGTCCTGTTTCCCTAATTACATTACAGCTTGTTGGGGGAATCTTTTTAATCTAAATTGTTTCACACATTCTCTCGTAAAGACTAATGCTACTGTGAGACTGAGAAATGTGGATTTTGACCTCATTTTTTGGGGGTGGGGTGGGGAGAGGTTTGTTCGCTATAGGGCGCGTGCGCTTGCCAGACAGACAGAGAGACTTAGAGACAGAAAGGGAGAAATCACACTGGGATGGCCACGCCGCAATCCCTTCTCCTCCATTCTCCTCTCGGGATCTTGGGCACACTTGCACACGCGCCCGGCGTGAGTTTTAAGCCACTGGGTCTGGGATGCGAACCGTGGTCGACTACATGGGAGTCCAGTGACATAGCCATTATGCTAACTGCTGGTTCCCGATTTTGACCTCATTTAGAAGAAAGAAAACATTATGTTACTTTTGATTCTATTTACCCCATGTACTCCATTTACATTATTTCAAACATTCAGTAAATATTTGTTTTTGTTTTATTTATTTTAATCTTATTACTGATCTACAGTAACAAAAATATACTAGATTTTTTTTTTCAGTAAAATCTACATCAGCAAACTTCCAATATAATAAAATAATCTGGAGACTATTGTGAAAAAAATTTAATGTTTTGGGTCAGCAGGTGGCATGGTGGTTAAAGTAGTTGGATTCACATGGCCAACTGCTTGGTTCAGTTCTGCACGCCATGGCTTAAAAAACATACCAGGTGCATTCACATGCAAACCCCAAATCCTGAAAGGAGAAACAAGGAAAGGAAGGGATTTCTGGTGTGACCATTCCCCCTGGGGAGTTGCTTTCTCACTTGTCTTTCTCTTTTTAGCAAGTATATGCGCCCTCTGGAAAAAAATAGAAAAATAAAATAATTTAAATGTTTAAAAACAGTTACAGTAATATTCCATTAAAAGCTTATAAGACGGGCCAGCAAGTGGCATGGTTGGTTAAGGCACTGGACTCCCACATGACTGATAATGATTCAAGTCCCATATCTGGCAGCTTGCTTTCTCTCTCTCTCTCTTTGTCTCTCTCTAGCTTAATAATAATAATAAATAATAAAATTAAATAAATTATTCTAAATTGTTGCCAGGTCAGTAGGTAGTATAGTGGCTAAGGTACTGGAGCCCACATGTCTGACCACAGTTTGATTTCTGTACCTGGTGGCTTGCTTTTTCACTTTTTTTCTCTCTCACTGGTCAATTTTTTTTTTTTTTTTGAGAGGTTTTTGCTATAGGGCACGTGCGCTCGCCAGACAGACAGAGAGATAGAGAAACAGAAAGCGAGAAATCACCACCCGGGGGGATGGCCACACCACAATCCCTTCTCCTCCATTCTCCTCTCGGGATCTTGGGCACGCACGCACACGTGCCTGGCGTGAGTTTTAAGCCACCGGTCTGGGACACGAACCGCAGTTGACTACGTGGGAATCCAGCGACTTAGCCATTATGCTAACTGCTGGCCCTTCACTGGTCAAATTTTTAAAAAATTAAAATGAAAATAAAAAAAAATGATTAATTCTGGGAAAAACAAAAACTTCTAAAAAATTTTTGTTAGGCCAAGGGGTGGGATGGTGGTTAAGGTGCTAGATTCCCACATGGCCGACTGTAGAGTACTGGATCTGGTGGCTTGAAAAACATGCTGGGCACATGTGCACACATGCTCAAAATTCTGAGAGGAGAAGTGATTGTGGTGTGGCCATTCCCCTTAGAAGGTAATTTATCTCTCTCTCTCCCTCTCCCTCTCCTTTTCCCTCTCCCTCTCCCTCTCTCTCTCCATCTCTCTCTCTGCGTCTCCTTCAAGAGCACACATCCCATGGCAAAAATACAAGACAAAGAAATAGTTTCCTTAAATTATTGATTTAAAAGTTATATATTGGGAACCAGCAGTTAGTGTAATGGCTATGTCACTGAACTCCCACATAGTCGACCGCGGTTCGCATCCCGGACCCGGTGACTTAAAACTCACGCTGGGTGCGTGTGCGTGCGTGCGTGCCCAAGATCCCGAGAGGAGAATGGAGGAGAAGGGATTGCGGCATGGCCATCCCCCCTGGGGGTGATTTCTTGCTTTCTGTCTCTATGTGTCTCTGTCTGTCTGGCGAGCGCACACGCCCTATAGTGAAAACCTCTCAAAAAAAAAAAAAGTTATATATTAATGTTTGTCTTAAATATTTTCTCAAGTAGGAGAAAAAGATTTATTTACAATTAGTTTTTTTATAGGGAAAAAACAATAATTTAGAGGTGAAAAACTAAGTTGTAAGAATGATAATTTTGTTTATAAGGAATGGAATGGATTTTTTAAAAAGAATTATTTTACTTGACTTTATTTATTTATTATTATTTTCCAATTTGGTCAGAGAGAGGGAAGAAAGCAAGGCAAGTCACTAGGTTCAGGACTTGAACCTGTCAGCCATGTGGGAGTCCAGTGCCTTTAACTACCACACCACCTGCCGGCCCCTAAGGAATGGATTTTTGTTGCATTAATGAGATGATTTATTTTTTACACTATGCAATATTTTCTTTTAGTTTTTGACGATGAAGAAGAAAGCAAATTGACCTATACAGAGATTCATCAGGAATACAAAGAACTAGTGAGTATTTTTTTTTCTGATTTTAAAAATTAATTAGGACATTACTTACAACTTTCATAAATTAAAACAATGGATTTTTAAAATTACTATTCTTTAATTTTATAAAAATACAGTATATCCTAACAATATGAATTATCTGACCATTTTATTCATATGACTTACCTCTTTACCCTAGAATCTTAGGAATGGTTTTAAAACAAGTATTTATGGAACCGCCATCTTCTAGTAAT